AATATTCCAAACGAGCGTTCTATGTACCTTCGGGCTCTAGAGAGTTTTTCATGTCTTAATGATGTCCACAGCGAGGAGCTCTTAAATATTTTAGAATCGCAATCTTTTCCGTAACTTCCAACATCAACATAGACAAAACGGAAGAATAACCTTTGTAGTCGAAGTACATCGATCGAAAAATTCGCCCTTCTTTCAAAATCTGAAGCGATCGTTTCCCAGTGCTGTTTAGTGGGAACGGGAATACATTCCAAACACTGCAACTTACATCTCTGACAATCTTGCTCGCTGTAGAAATGCCGAGTGATGTATATCTGTGAAAGTACAACCGCTCGCCAGATATCTGAAACAAAAACATGAATAACGCAAAAAGCTTAGAATAATGACAATAACAGTTGTAGCACATTCTTATTGATTGGTAAGAATCTAGCATGTGGCACATTGGTTTATTCTTATGTTGTTGTCTTTTTCAGCTACAGAAGTGATGAAGAGACAGGTGAATGTTCGAGATGCTCCTAAAAAATCAATTAAAAAACAAAAAGAGGCTGCACGATTGGGAGCTGGAAAGCCAACTACAAAAACGCACGATTACAACGCACTGTTACCATTCCTAAGGAAAGTGTTCCTGGAACGGAAAACAGAAGACACCCGATCAGCTGATATTGGACAGCCCGAGGCGGCGAACGAGCGAACACCTCAAAACACCCATGAAAACGAAGTTACTCAAGCAATCGCCAAGGATTTCAAAACACCAGTAACACGAAAACGTAAATTAGACAACGTTGAACTAGAAATGATTCAAGCTCTTAAGGATCAAGCGGATCGTCATTTGTCTTTTTTCAGAGGGATAATTCCTTCATTGAACACTTTTGATGACGACGAGATATTAGAATTCCAAATGTTGGTGCTACAAAAAATAACATCCATGAAACAACGGAAAAAAATGGTTTCCTACAATCAGTACTCTGCTGAAATTCATCCTATGCGCATAAACACTAGTCGGCAGGCAACAACATCAACTGAAGGTCATCTCTATCAGAACGTGCGTCCGAGTACTTCAACTGGTTCAAGTGATGGGTACGATCCAGCAGAGAAGTTTGGTCCACATCTCTCACCAGCATCAGAAACCTGATGACTTTACTTCATGAAACGTTTCTAAATATTTCTTGTATTGGTCTTTTTTGTATTACAAGTAATTATACATTTCTACGCTAACAATAGTTGTAGATTAATATCCTCTGGGTGCTGTCTGTTCATTCAGAAAGGAACCAGATTCTATATTCAATCGACTCCCGAAATAATACATGAAAATTTCGTTTGAAGATTTCGATGCAATGGTGGGAAGCAAAGATATTTTCAAGCCAACATTTTTTAAATGGGAATTTAAGTTAAATTAGTAATCATAATGGGGGGCAGAGAAGTGCACATTGCCACATCATAAGATCTGGTTGTCAACAGTGGAAAATTCACAGACGCATTATCAGACCGGTTGTTTCTTGATGTAGGACAACAGTCAAGTATATCTGCTGACTGTCCATTCAGAGACAGCTGACTGACACCGACCATTACGTGTTACTTGCAAAATATATGGAGAAGTAAACAAGCAACTGAAAAGTTTAATATGCATTTGCTTCATATCAGGAAGCTAAATGATGGAGATGTTATTAGAGAGTATAAGGTAAAAGATTTGCAGATTTGGGCAAATTCAGTGATAATTGGATGTTAACAGCGCCAAGCAAAACATTAGAAATAATACCAAAATTTCAGCCACCGAGTCTACATCATTGCAAGTTAAGGTGGCATCGACCATAGTCTGGTGAAGATGTTGAGGATTGTTATGAAAGAGGAAGCAGATCGGATTGCAGCGTACAATGCTCCGGCATTTCTTCGTCCATCATCATCTGTGGTGATTCAGCCCATTTCCGAGCCATGACATCCCCCAATCTTCTTCCTCCAATCATCTCTATCTGCTGCTGCTGCTTTCCAGTTTCAGGCTCGTAGCAACTCGGATGCATCTTCCCATCCGCTTCGAGGCCTTCTTTCCCAAAACATCCTCTTAGCACTTTTGGGGGATACGAGAGTCTTCCATCCTCACTACGTGGCCTGCCCATTGGAACAAGGCATTTCTTGTTTACTTCCCCCAAATAAGATTAACAAGGTTTCAGATAGCAAAATTTAATGCTGAATCAGTTCTGCTGTAAATTTTTTGGTAAAAGGCAATTTACCTCTTTTCAATGTTCTAATAGCAATCTCAAAATCAAAACACATGCGATCATATCCAACATCTTTAACCCCGTGGGCGCTCAAAAGATTCACATCTTAATTGTTCAGAAGGTGGCTGTCTTATGGGTTGTTCTACCATGTATTCTGGTAGAAGTTTACTGACGATGGAGGCAGCAAAGACCTCTGAAACATCAGTTAAGTAAAACCGGACTTCAAGGTGGAACATCCCGGCAGCCAATCATCTAACTCAAAAAATAAAATTATTAGTAGTTTTCAAACTAGCTGCTCTTCTGTTCTATCCTTCTAAACTTCTTTCTTGGGTCGAGGCTGCATCAATATTCAAAGTGTTTTATAAGCCAGCCCTCTCTTAGGTGTGAGGTTTTGGGAGGGAAATTTTGTTTCAAACTGGTAATCTAATCTCCCTCCTCTTGTTCAATCTGGATCTGGGCCATTGTTTTGGGGGTTGATGCAGTCCTTCTCGGGACCCAGTTGTCCTTCCGGAGGTCTTGCAGCATGAATCTGATCCGACTTGATAGCAGTCCCTTCTTCTGGGAAAGCTCCTTCATTTTACTGAAGCACTCGGACAGGTCCTGCAAGAACACAGAAAATTCAAGTCACATTTCACTCCTTACGCTTAAGAGCTGACACATGAAACTAGAAAACTCATCAAGTCCACATAGCACATGCTGTGCGGGAAGGCACGTGTAAATTTAAAGGGAGCTCTGAAGGTTACCGTCACTAACTAAATGGAAATGTGCGTCTCATCTACACAAACACTTAAACAGAGATTTTTGGTGGCTGAGCCTAGGCATGGTACTGCTTGCTCGTGCTGTGACAGTGAGTGAATTCTGACATGAGCCAGCAGAGGTGACGGGAGGAAACATTCAAGTCTAACCCAATACTGAGCAAGATTCCCTTTGCGCTAGACAGGGACAAGCTTACACTACAGCATCAGGCATTTTATTTTAATCCTATGAGCGTGACCCAGGTAGGAGGAGTACGAAGAAATTCAGAAGAACATGTCGTGGTGATCATTCATCACACAGAAACACTTTCAGAATCTCGTCGGCAATCTCGGAAAAGTATTTAATATCAGAATACGCATAATATCTTTACGTATTCTTTATAATGTGCATTTACAAGTATTAAATCCATCTTCGGCAGTAGTTCCCACTTTGGCCACCAGATTGCAACATCAAATTTTCTAACTCACAAAACTGCTGTTCATCACCATCTTACCACCTCTAGTAGGATATTCAAAATATGATTGAGTGAGGTCGTGCAAAATAGCACAAACTCCATATCAAATTTTATCCAAGTCTGTCAAGTTAAATTGACCGGAGAGACATGACCAGCCCATAATGCCTTCTCGTTATACAATTCGTGCCAAGAACGCGTAACAATTACGAACTACTTGCATGTTACGAGACAGAAACCAGAAACTGAAAGAGAACAAACACTACCACACACTGCCTTTTTGTGTCATACCTTACATATACGCCTGGGGTCTCCGTAGAACTCAAAGGAGGGCAATAAATTAAACTGTAAGAAAACTGCAAACTAAAACTATTTGAGAATTAACACAAACATACTTGGTTTTTTCTCTCTAAATCATCCCCCACTGTCGTGAGCAGTTTGCACAGACACTCCGACTGCTCGTCTCCTTCCACAAGAAGCCGCTTAATGCATCGCTGCATTATGCTCGCTGTCAGCATCCCTAATTTGAAAAGCTCGCCAATAAACCTGTAACGTACAAAAAATATTTCAATGGGTTGAGTTAAGACAATAGTAAAAATCCAAAAAAAGAACACGAGCGAAGTAGTTCGTCTCTGCAAGATACAGAAACATTTGTACCTTAAAATAATAACTTTTTTTAAATTAATTCAATTTAAGCAATCTCTTGTGTGTGAAAGTGGAGCAGGAATTTCTAACTCACAAAATTGCTTGTCCATCACCATCTTACCACCTGTAGCAGGATATTCAAAATATGACTGAGCGAGGCCGTGCAAAATAGCACAAACTCCATATCACATTTCATCCAAGAACTCAAAGGTGGGCAATGAATTAAAATGTAAGAGAACTGCAAACTAAAACTATTTGAGAATTAACACAAACATACTTGGTTCTTTCTCTCCAAATCATTCCCCACCGTCGTGAGCAGTTTGCACAGACACTCCAATGACTGCTCGTCTCCTTCCGAAAGGAGACGCTTAATGCATCTGACCCTTAGGGCTATGCGGGCACGGGCTTCGGCTCCTAGTAGGGTCACCCAAGCCGGGGAAGTCTAAGAGTAAGAGTGATACATTTGAAGAGCTCGCCAATAAACCTGTAAAATACAAAAAATATTTCAGTGGGTCGAGTTAAATCAACAGTAAAAATCTAAAAAAAAGAACATAAGCGAAGTATTTCGTCTCTGCACGATACAGTAACATTTGTACCTTAAAATAATAACTTTTTAAAATTAATTTAATTTAATCAATCTCTTATGTGTGATATATATTTTTGAGGTGAAATATGATTTCTTTTGCATGGTTTCTTAAGGTGACCCGAGTTTCTTTGAATGTATAAGACCCTTAAGAATCTCCTGACATAAAAAAAGAATATGGCACCATTCAGCCTACCACAATGGCTGGTGTAAAAGAGAGCATGTCCCTTTTGACTATTAAAGGTTACAAAATAAATGAAGTTGTAAATTCTCAGATTGGAATAAGGAATCATTTCAAATATAACATTAACCTTTTACTGTACCAAGACTTGGCACCCAACAGTCCCATTCTAATTTGGCACAAAATTTAGAATAAAAGGCACAACTTACAAACTGGAAGGTAAAAAGCCATAAACATTTCAGATTTCCTCCCAGTTTCTACTACTCTAGCTTCACTACTTTCACGTGCCACTGACGAATCAACTTTAGAGCTGCAAATATTATAAACAAAAACGTATCTTACCTAATATTTCCCACTGATTTCCTTCGTATCCTTCGCAGTTCCTCTTCGAGATTGCATTGTAGTACCTTCTTCTTTGCCTGCAGAACAAAGAGATATAAAAGATTTTAGTTTGAATTCAGTGTTGATTCAGAACGCTGCTAATTAGGAATCGCTAATTTTGATGGCGCCAGTAAGAGACATTTCATGCAACGCCTTTCACATATGTAAGCTTCCATTTTAAAGTTTGCTATGACGTTTGCGTATCATTATAAATAATCAACTGAGTCCATGAATCAGTGTTTTTGTGTGGCTGAAGACACTCAGATGGTCAAGAAGTTCCCTGAATTTACCTGAACATATCATGAGCCAATGAGAAATACATTGCCAGGGGTAGGGAAGGAGGATAAATGTCAAGTGAAAGTGCTGAGAGTTCATGATGTTCAGAAAAAATCATTGCATTAAGTATATGAGGAGATAAGCAGCAGAATTGTGAAGCATACGTAGATATTTCTGCCTGATTCTGACACATTATGGAACAATACAGAAAATATCTTCTTGGAGATATTTATTTTAAATTCTTCGCGAATATCAGGGGAATATCAGAAAGAAAACCCCCTTGTCAAAGGCCCTTACGTTTTGCTGGGTGAGGAGGCTTGCGTACTCAAATGACCCTTAGGGCTATGCGGGCACGAGCTTCGGCTCCTAGTATGGTCACTCAAGCCGGGGAGGTCTAGGACTAAGAGTGATACCCCAGTCCTCCAGGTTGGGGTTTGGGTTAACAAGCCCACCCAAGAAATCAATTATTGTTACGAAACCCTAGGGAGGAAAAAGCCCACCCTGGGCTGTAGTACTGAGGAAGAAGAAGGTTAATAAGAAAACCCACCACTCAAAGTGGATGATTCAATTATAAATGGATCTCTAGAAACATTTCAGAGAATCAAGACGGAGTTTCTTTGAATGTATAAGACCCTTAAGAATCTCCTGACATAAAAAAAAGAATATGGAACTATTCAGCCTACCACAGTGGCTGGTGTAAAAGAGAGCATGTCCCATTTGACTATTAAAGGTTACAAAATAAATGAAGTTGTAAATTCTCAGATTGGGATTAGGAATCATTTCAAAATTATAAAGAACTTTGAATTATCAAATATAACATTAACCTTTTACTGTACCAAGACTTGGCAACCAACAGTCCCATTCTAATTTGGCACAAAATTTAGAATAAAAGGCACAACTTACAAACTGGAAGGTAAAAAGCCACAAACATTTCAAATTTCCTCCCAGTGTCTTCTCTCAATTTACTGCCGTCAGATGTCAGTGAAAAATCAAATACAGAGCTTCAAAGGTTATTAATATATACGTATCTTACCTAATATTTCCCAATGATTTCCTTCGTATCCTTCGCAGTTCCTCCTCGAGATTGCATTGTAGTTCCTTCTTCTTTGCCTGCGGAACAAAGAGATATAAAAGATTTTAGTTTGAATTCAGTGTTGATTCAGAACGCTGCTAATTAGGAATCGCTAATTAAGATGGCGCCAGAAAGAGACATTTCATGCAACGCCTTCCACATATGTAAGCTTCCATTTTAAAGTTTGCTATGACGTTTGCGTATCGTCATAAATAATCAACTGAGGCCAGGAATCAGTTTTTTTGTGTGGCTGATGAAACTCAGCTGATAAAGAAGTCCCCTGCCTTCACGACCTTTAAATGAAACTGTGATACAAGAGAACATATCATGAGCCAATGAGAAATACATTGCCAGGGGTAGGGAAGGAGGATAAATGTCAAGTGAAAGTGCTGAGAGTTCATGATGTTCAGAAAAAATCATTACATTAAGTATTCATTATAGGCAGTCAAACATGTAGAAAAGTAAAACTAGCCAAAGGAGTTAAGAAAATATTTTTTCATCTTGAGGTAACATAGATCATAATAATGTTAATTAAATTTATATGCATTCTACAGTGTCAAAAGATCATCCCTTTCTTACCGATAACTCTCTATTTGATATTATCTCAATGTACAAAGTAAAGATATATTATAAATGATAATTTGGCTTCATCTACAAGATTAAAGCGGGAAGACACATATTCTGTCAGATCAAGCAGACCGAGCTATTCCCAATCTGTCGACAGAAACGTAAAACATTAGACTGTAGACAAAGACAGTTTGAGAAGTACTCACTGGCTCTGCTGCTTCTCGATCCAGCTCCACCTCAGAATTCTTTTCAAACTGATTCTGGCATTGGTTTAGCAGCAGCTTCCTGAAGTTAATCTCCGATTCATCCTTGTTCTCGCACTCTGCAGGAACTTGCGTGCCGTACAGAACTTTGCACATTCTTGCGTACTCCTCGGAGAAGGTGGGTTCATCAACGGCCTAAACATAAAAATACACCACATGATCACTTTGCTCTGTATGACATATATACGTAGGGCAGTCAAAAAGTTCTTGGAATTCCCCTGCAGACAGAGAATGAGAGGTAAGATAGCGCACGCAAGTGTTGTGGTGGGCAGCTGAGCGTGGCAACAGGTCTGGACAGGTTTCGGCGTGCCGTGTCGTTAGTGTTCCGTTTCAGTTAGACGTGGGTGTAGGTCATTCGGCGCAATTTCACAGTTCGAACGGTGTGCGAACATCAAGTTCATGTGCAAATTGGGCAAATCTGCTGAAGAGACGCTATCGGCCCTGCAGCAATTTACGGTGATACCGCACTAAAGAAATCCGCGGTTTAGAACTGGTTTTCCCGGTTTAAGACTGGACAGGAGACGTTGGTGGATGACCAGCGCAGCGGGAGGCTTTCGACATCCAGAACCGTGGAAACAATTGAACTAGTGCGACAACGGATTCTATCTGATCGCAGGATGGCCATCGTGGAGTTGGAGCATGAAGTTGGTATCTCTCACGGATCCATTCTGTCCGACGATTTGAAGATGAGACGTGTCAGTGCGAAGTTCGTTCCGAGGCAGCTGACTACGGATCAGATGGAATGTCGCACGATGGTCGCTGGAGATCTCTTTGAGAAAAGTACACAGGGCCCTAAGTTCCTCACAAAGATCGTCACTGGTGATGAGTCATGGGTGTTCGCCTACGACCCGGAGACGAAGATGCAGTCATCCGAGTGGCACACAGTTTCGTTTCCCCGACCAAAGAATTCACGCCTCGTTCGATCCAAGGAAAAAGTGATGCTCATGGAATTCTTTGACATCGACAGTGTGGTGAACCATGAGTTCGTACCGCCTGGACAGACTGTTACGGGTCATTTCTACGTGCAACTGTTGCAGAGGTTGAGCGAAGCAGTTCGGAGGAATCCGCGCGACAAGTGGCAGGGTGGGTGGTTTCTGCATCACGATAACGCACTGAGCCACACATCGCTGGTTGTGCAACAATTCCTCGCAGAGAAAAGCATTCCCGTCATCACCCGCCGCATTTCACAATCATGGAGGACATCAAATCGAATGTGACGGCCGAACTCCGGAAGATTCCAAACGAAGCCTTCCACTGGTGCTTCCATCAATGGCAGGATTAATGGAGCAAGTGTGTGTGCGCGCATGGGTCCTACTTTGAAGGTGATTAGGTAAGCATTGCCGTATGTCCTACCATTACAGTGCTATACCACAATTCCGGGTACTTTCTGACTGCCCCTCGTATAACAGTAACTGTACTGAAGATATACCTAGAGATGTCGCATCAATTAAAATTATTAAATCATAGCCATCGAAATGAAGCATCGACAGAAGCAAATCTTTATCCCTTGAACCCAAGAAATTCCAAAACTCAGTCAGATGCAAAACATTTCATGACAGTGTTCCCTTTTCACGTATGAGACATTCATTTATAGATGAGTGAAGAGAAATCCTATGCTTGAAGGTGTATTTAAAGAAAGAACAACCCGGTTTCTGGTAGTTAAGATTATTACCGTGATCAGTAACAATTATAATTTTCAGCTGCCCCTAGAGCCTCCATTATTATTATGCTGAGGATACTTTCAGTACTTCAGAAATTCAGCTGCAAAGTCTCAAACAAAGAAAATTTTTATCAATATGACAGTTCTGTTTCAATGTATCAGCTGCTAAAGACTGCTGCCTCACCTTTTCAAATATGAGCTTGATGATGCCCTCCAGGCGATCACTGCTGTCAATTGGCAGAGACTGGACCTGAGCAACAAGTCTGTCAAATTTCTCAGGCGTGAGCTTGTTGAGCACACTGCGTACCTTCTTATACAGGTCCTGCAACATTAAGTTCTCTCTCATCACTTCACACAAAGACAACACAAAACACGAAATTAAAGCAAAACATGTTTAAATATGTGACGTTTGTTCAGTACTCTGCCTTTTAAGTCGGTTCGAGGTACAAGCCCAAGATTTCCATTACATTAACATCCAAATCAAAAGTTGCTGCATAGCACGCAACATCTTCCTTTAAAACATGCCACATGAAGCAAAAAATGTTAAAACAGATCAGATTGTCCTTTTCACATGACCAGTCAGCAGTGGGAGAAAGGATATTCAATTCACCTTTGAAAATAAACCGGTTGCAGGGCATAACTAACGCCACTTGAATAGAGCAAAGATGAACAAATCTAAAGAGTAGATCCAATAGAATAATGGTTAACAAAATTGGTCACAAGAATGACTGAGGGATGTTTGAAGAGTGAAAGAAGCATTTCACATTAAACTTAAGAGCCACTCAGCAATCTGTGACGCAGTATGAGTGAAACCCAAAACCTCTGGTCACTGCACAAGAGTTTAAACAATCCAATTCACCAAATTACCCCCATCACCCCTAAATGGTTGGTCACCCCACAGATACATCAGAAAATTGTTTTTTCCGTGTAGACGAGTTTCTTAGTGCAGGACTGTTACATTCAGCCATCTTACATTGGGGTAGACACAGCAGTATTCACTGCTTCTGCGATCCTGTGGTCAAAGAATGCCAGGTACATACCTGAGTCTTTGCCTCCTCTTCATTGGTAGCAGAGGGCTTCACTCGTCTAGGCCTCCATGCGTTTTCTGCATGTTGCAGTTGTACATCTTCCTTCAGCGAAAGCTCTATATGAGTAACAGGATTCTTATACTTAGTGACGATTCGTTGGCTGTTTCTCCAAGGTGTGGGCTGCTGTGAATTGAACCGAAGCAGCAGAAAATTAGCTCAGTGTTCAATCCTAAAAATTATATTGTTCTAAAAGATTATCTAGATCTTAAAATATTCCAAAAACTACAAGTGGCCACGTTGAAACTTACTTTACAGTGTGAACTCAATTTTTGCAGAACACTGTAGCATGCTGCAACAGTTATGCATAACAGCTAACACTTCTGGTACGCACTAGCTTTTCATGGAAACATCTGCATTTATGGACAATTATCACAAGGCAAACACACAAAATATTCACATACTTACCTCTTCGGAATCATGTCCCTTCATGAAGTCAGGATAAAATATATTACGAGATGGCGTGCCAGAGGGAGTTCTATTCGTCTTAGAGAATCTCCTCTCTACCACATGTACCTGAAAGCAATTTAAAAACAATTATGCTCAGAATTTTAGGGTATTTCAAAATGCACGGCAAAGTAAGGAATTCAACTCTGAGTATATTTTGAAAACTAAACTGGCATATATTTACTTTAAATTTTCCATTTTTGAATTTAGACATTCATTTTATACATTACTGGATGCATCCAACAGCTCACAAAATAATACACCTGTATGTACAAAGCTCTGAATGGCAAGAGAGTGAAATTTGGCTCAAGTTGTTTCTAGTTTGTTGTGTTCATCACCTCTCACAAAAAATACAACATTCCTACAGCTGCAGTTACTTACAAAACATCACCGGTGGCCCTTATCCTACATTGGTAAAAATATAAATCCAGAAACCTTCCTAGCTGAACGGCCGAGGTTCGCATTATCTTAAACCACATATAATCAATTCTCTTTCAGCACAGCTTAAATTTTCTTAACGCAATTTTCAGTAAATGGCGATACAGCCAAGTTCTTTTTCCACAAAGCATCTGTAGAACACTCCAAATGTCACAACCCCCAATTTCCATGTACCCTACACTTCTACCGCATCCATAACAGATTTTTGCACCTTTGCTTTCGAAACACATACTACTCTGACCCCATCACCATCACCAATCAGTCACCCAGACACCGAGTGACTGCCTTCGGCAATACTTCGTAATATAAACTACACTCTGACAGCTATAGAAGATATCCACCTCCCTTCTCCAAAACATATGATACAATCTAAAGTGGATTCAACTTCCCACAATCATTTACACACTTTAAAAAGACTTGCCACTTCATTATATCAATAAGTGGCAATTTTAAACGTACCTGATTTATGCCATCGTTCACTACTGCACTAAGATCAAGTAAGTCGTCTGGTCTCTTCATTGACAGAGGGTGATACCTCAGCTCCAACAGGAAATTTCGGTCATATATCCTCCTGCCTTCTGGATTCTGTGGACTCCCCTGGTCTGGAAGCAAACGCTGACATGAGCTTGCAACAAAATCAGCAATGAGGAATTCGATCTTTGTGTCATCATGAAATATTTGAAAATCTTTTCTTCATGTGAGGCATTCTTCTACAAATTGCATTATATATTGAATCAGTTCCTTCCACAACATTTGCCAATATAAATTTGCAACAGAACTTCTGTTAACCTGCAATTTAATGGGTCTTTCAAAACCAATCAAATGGAAAGTCTGAAATCTTCCAAGATACGAATTCTTGTGGTAAATCGCTGTTGAGTGATATCAATTTTCATTGCATATACTGCAGCAAACAAAACAAGGCCCTGTGTTTCTTCCATTCAACTAACATTCGAATCAGACTTGTAGCAAAAACAAACAGCAAAATTATGATATGCACTCACTTCAAAACGTGTTCTCCATGAAGAAAGAACCAGATACATTTTTAGCACTGTCTGCATTCTGTAAGAAGTTACTGACAATTCTGCATTCTTTGCTTTATCATTCCTTCCAGATTCTCAATTCATAAATGACCTCTTACCAGTAGCATAACCACTATTGAGGGGCTCTTTGAGAGGGCAAAATGTGACGCTGACCCTGACAATAGTGCCACTGACATCAGATTGGTCAGAGGTCATGGGACAAGTGTGTGGAACCTGTATTACATGAGTGCGCTCCACGTTGCTTCACAGATGGTGGGTCTGGCCAAGAATTGCCACACAAAGGCGTTCAAGACTTTTGCACGCAGAAATGCGACTTAGTTTTTGTGTAGCGTCGCTTACTCTTTGTTTATTTCAACCAAAAGTGGAACGTTGTGACAAGTTGTAGCAAAACCCTAAGATATCAAATTTAATGACAGAGTTATTACATGCTATGAGCAAGAAGACAAAAGGGCAGTTTTGAAACTTTGTCATAAATGTGCCTATACATAAGGATTAACACATTTTATACTTGACACACGGAGAGCCGTTCATCAGGCACGAACTTTATGCTATTTTCTGGTCTGACATAACGAAATATTCTTTAACACACATGAATATGAATTTATAGCAGTCCAGAATAGGAACTGATTATATAAAAAAAAATTATATTTCATTTAGCTTATAGTTCTCAGCACTGGCACATTTATCCTCCACTCACGCCTTGGCCAGTGCATGCCCCTAATGAAATGCACTATTCTTTACACTTACCCACTTTGTCTGTGCACGTCAAAGAATCCACAGCAATTGCGATGTTCAGTGCATCTGCAGAGATGGCATCTGCTCCCTCGGAAGGAATTGTACTTGTTGGTTCTGCCCCTTCAGTTATTGTAGTTCCTGAGTCTGCAGACATGTCCTCCTCCTCCTCCACCTGCACACACACACAAACACCTTGGTAAAACACGGTGCTAAGCTCAACGTTCGTTTCCAATTTTCTTAAAATTGTAACTGATTCTTTTATTTGAGCAATGATTTTTACAGCTGTTCAACCGCAACATAAAAAAGATATTTTTATTCAATGCAAACCATCAATTTATAAAAGCAAACCTAACAAATTAATCTAGCAAGTGACATAACTTCAACATTTGAAATCTTGTAACAGTAACTGAAGGCTCCATACACGTCTGCTACGTCGAATCTCAGACTATTCAGGGCCATTACCAACCTGTGCTGCTTCCTTCTTCTTCAAGCTCATCTTGTATCTCATCCTCCTTCTTCTGTTACGTTTTGTCTTTCTGTCCCTACAGTCGATCTCCTCGACAAGACCCGCGTCTTCTGCCGATGCAGTGACAGCAGCTGATTCCTCGGCAGTGGTAGTGGCTTCTGTCACGCCAAGAGCTGAGACAGTAGCATCCACCTGGCCATCAACACTGTCACCAATCTTGCCTTCAACCTGATTGTTGAACTGGCTTTCGACATGGTCGTGAATCTGGCCTTCAACCTCATTGTCGATTTGGCCTTCAACTTGACTGTTGACCTGCTGCTCCAAGTTCAAAATGTTCATTCCTTGTGACAAAATTAGACTTTTCAGGCTATCAATTTCCTTTCTCTGCTCATCTATCACTTGCAACAAGCTGCTAGTGTACACCTTCTCTGCTTCCAAGCGCAATGAGGCTGCATATTCTGTAACATTTGATAATTATTTTGAATTATAAAATTCCTCTTGTGAGTGTATACGAGGGTTACTTCAAAAGTCATGGCAACTAATTTTTTGGGGGCAAACACATTATATTAAAGAAAGTTCAAAATATACTGGAAGAGGGGTCTGGGGGGCACATCTGGACATCTAGATAGACATGCATTAACATCATAATTAACAGAATATCATACTGATGTGACTTATAGACTGTACTTTTAACCTCAGTACTTACACAAAATTCCACCATACTTACTGTCTGCATTGAATATCTCAATCAGTTTTTCCGGCATTATGTACTTCTTGTTTAATGCTCGGATCCTCTCTGTCAGAGTTTTCAGGGTTTCTTTCGATTCCCTCATGAGACGAGAACGTGTTAGTTCAAATGGTCCCATTTGAGTAGAGGATTTACCTGAGGACACACGGAATGCAGCATTTTATAATCCAAGAATTCTCTGTAACGTCTTAATGTTAATATTTATTGCTAAACATTTGTCTCAACTTTGAAATCTGAACTTCAGCCACACATAAAATCGTGTGTGCATTGGCTGTTTGTGTGTTGCACTGCTATTGATTTACATTTGTCACAGAAGATATTAGGAAGATTACATTTATCAAAACACAAAATAAGGTTGTGTAAAATAACGTGCACTTTCTTTAATGAATGCTTTTGCTTTAAAATTAGCAAGTTAGGAGACATTTCAAAATTTCTATTACACAATACAAGTCAGTTATTGATTAATCCATAACACAAAACAAGGGTCCTCAGTTTTTCAACTGTTCTCTCCACAATCACTTTCCATTAGATGAATATACATAAGACAGAAAACAACTTTTAACAACCTCTGAATGTGTATTCCCTACTATAATACACATAATATCCTCATCAGATCTTTGCAACGTACATTTGGAGGTAGTACATACCCTTTGTTAGGCAAAATAAATTTGCAAATTTTAAAAAGTTCTAAATTTATATTCTTTACGATTAATATACAACTGCCAGGCTACACAACAGAATGATTCAAAATACCTTTAAACCCCGTGTACTCTGGTACACGCTGTCGTTATTTTCTGCTTATGTATGTTTCTCAAACAGCACAATATCAAACGTGTTATCCAGTTTTGGGCCAAGTTCTGGACTTACGTTTTTCAGCAAGACTGGTTTGTTTCTTTTATCGATGTAGTCTTCCTTAATTAAATCACACTTTGTTACGTCACTAAAACATCTGTCGCTATCAAAAGCAAAAATTATGAACAAGAAGACGCTTAATTTAACTACAACATGCGCCATTTTGCACTGATTTCGTATGGAAAATGCAGAGAGTGTAAATGGTGTAGTCGCATTCAGAAAAGTGATAGTCGGGACGTGCACTGAAACATTCCGGCCGTCTCCACGTACTTGATACCTCTAAAATCTCTGAACGGCATTAAAAGTTTTTTGTATCAATCATGCTAACAAGATGTGCCATTTATTATGTACTATGGGACTTGATGTAAAGTAGGACCGTTATAAATGGGTTCAGAAATAGTCTAAATTTAAATGCTAGCACATTCATACAACTCCAAAGAAAAACACTATACAAGTCATGATACACTTACTTAACCAACCTTCTTTTCTGCTTCTCTGATAAAGACTTAGGGGCTTCTATTTCAGACTTTTCTGATTCCTCATCTTCATCTTCACTTGGAATAAGATCTTGCAAAGAAACAGTACATGCACTTGTAGCAACTTTATTTTAGTCATAGACCATAATGAAAAGTCATGTCAACACAATCATAATCTGGATGCATCACAATTATTTATTACACATGTACTGATGCTTTCATCCCGGAATGAGTATCTGCCACAATTTTCTCAGCTTACAATCCTCCAGTGCATTTTATTGCACTGAGATGTTGAGTTTGGCTAGGCTTTGATAGTCTACAAAACAGTTCAAATAAACTCATATCTACTGGTATGACAGGCGACTCTTTAACTGTCTCAGTATTCAGACATTTGCATTAAAAATTTCACTGTGGAAGAAACTGTTTCATAGATGGCTCTTCCACAGAATTACAGATGTCTTGGCCTGGCAGACACCATCCTCAAAGCTCTGGAAGGCCATGGTATGGATACTCTTATCATCAGTGAAATGCAGAAACTTACAAATCAACTCTAGACACCATCTTGTAATGACATTGCCATAGCATATTGCAAGTAACCCAGTATAATAGACAGTTCCTCCTCTATCATAAACTTTCATGACCTAACAATTGATCTACACAGAATCAGGTGTCCCATTCAATGGTATCTTCTCACATGATCAGCCATGTAATTTGTGATCACAACTCCATTCTCATGAGCAAGACTTCGCTGCAATAAGTTGCAATGAGAACTTCACATCTTATACAGGTAACACACCAATCCCAAAACTATTCAACTGAATGACTGGCTTATATTACAGTCATTATGGTACGTAAGGTCCACAATGATCAGTCTGAAGATCACTGCCATATCCATTACATCAGTTTTCTGAAATCAAAATTCACCTGTGAAAATCATCAACATTTATCTTATCATCCTAATCAGTGTTATGATCATCCAGCACGCAAATCACCATTTGGTCAACAATTCCATTTTTCGTATTATGTTTTCTGAATCTACTACCAGTCCATTACTCAAAATCGTGACAGGCAGATAATCAGGTATGGACAGGTCCTTATTGTTCTTTCCTCATTCCAGAGCATAAAGAACACCAAAAAAGCAGTCAATATGGAGAACCCCAAAGTGGTGTTGTTGACACAACCCATGTGATCAGGTGTTAGTGAGGATTGACATAGGTACGATTGACAGACAGAGCAATCTACAGAGTTGGTGCAGCTGTTATTGGCCCTCAGTGGTATCCTACGTTCCTCAAGTGTTTGCCTTAGAGACGCTACGCTTATACTGTAACTTCCTGCCATCATGTTGTCAAACTGCATCTCACGGTCCTGGTAGACTGAGTGTCCGACTAACAAAGCATAGCATAGCTAGAGTTCTCTCTGCTGTTCCGTTCATCATTTTCTATTATGTGACCAATCTCACCTATGAACAAAGGCCCGCACTCACAAGTAGCCTCCAGCAGCTTTCAGACAAAGGCTGTCATGATAAGATGGATGGAGTAACACACCAGTATTTTGCCATCGTGGCTGGACAGATTCTGCACAAATGATAAAATGCAGTGTTGAATGGTTTGTTTGAATGCTATTTCACTGAGCCAGTCCCTGGGGCACAATATTCTGCAGCTCTTTGATCTATGATCTACAGTCAAGGGAATTATGTACTTAATTTAAGCTGCAAATATGTTAGTCTTCCACTTCTTACCTCTCCCGCAGTTTAAAGTCCGTAACATCTGCAAATGGTACGGTTTGTTCGGTGGACATGAGCTATGTCCTATGATGTGCAGCAGCTTTTCTGCTGGAACCGAGAGTGAGAGGTGAGTGGAGCTTAGTATCTTGAATGCTGAGATTGAGTCAAAATCATGTGTTGACTTCCGTTTCAATAACAATTTAACATTTATAATCGGGGCTATGTTCATACAGTTTTATGAAGGAATAAGCTGACAGCAATGTTAATAAAATACTAAATCAAATTTCTGAAGCTACTGGTGTATTTCCGTACTCTGAAGCGGAGCTGGGCATGAGCCAGTGGGAAGGAAGAGACTTGTGAAAAATTCTGAACTGGATATGACTGATCTCATACTCAGGCCATTTGGCAGTCACGCATGTTCAGTGGCCTTTGCCCTGATCATTGCTTCTCTGTAAATTGGCCGATCTCAATGTGAGAAATGCTCTTAAAGATAAGGATGTATGCAGAGCTTAATAAGCATAACAGCAAGTAAACCATTGGGAGTGGAGATATGGCTTGACATATTCTTCACCCCCTTGACACCAGACGGTGTGAGTGACCATTACATACGAGACTGGGTGGGCTACAGTATTGGTCTGGCCAAGGTGGGAAGGAGGATCTATAACTTTGCTGGTTGTCCAGTATGTAGTCTATTCACTGTAGAGAGTAAACACTTTCAGGACAAACATAGATTTTAGTTGGCATATAGTGCCCTGTGTATGGTATTTCAGTGCCTTTCTGAGAATAGATTAAATTGAAAATAGTTTCAAGAGAACTGCTGATGAGCAGAACTTCCTTTTCACTCTTAAGGAGTTCCTGCCATCAAAAGGAAACAATCTTTTACAGTAAATGTCATAACTTAAAAAATCTAAGCTCATACCTGAATTACTTAGGTTTCAATGGGAATATGTGACTTCCAACTTGCTGTATAATGTAGTAGCATAAGTTTCTAATCCTGGAGTGTAACTGGCAGCCTGTAGCTAGGCATTTAAATCCTACATTCTAGTACAGCATGTGTTAATGCCTGAAGTATATAGTTATATCTATAAAATTTTTAGGACTATCCAAGCTTACAAAAACAGCAGCTTCTTAAAAAGTCTTGCAAACATAACCTCTCTTTCACTTATATCCCCACATTTTAAATGCATTCTTTCGAAATAAAACTTTGTCACTTACAGAATCATCACTCATAAATCTGGGCTCTTGTTACCACCATGATTGCACTGTATTAACATCCACCTTTGAAGCAATTGTACATTTTGTATGATGCATACCCAATCATGTTTTCCCACACTCTAGTCACAGATAGTAAAACTAACAAAACGTTCAGGTACTGTTTCATCAGCACTAGCTAATACCCATGCTGAAGCTATCATTTATATTTTATACCAATTCAATTAGTCAACCCAATAATCAAGTGGTCAATTGAATAAGTCAGAAATTCAGCATGAATATCTAGTACACCATTTCAGTATTAATTGTGTTTGTAAAGCACTTCATAAAGTTATGTACCATATACTAGGCTCTAAATTAATACCAACTACAAATAAATCCCAGAAGAGTTTCGTTTCAAGTGCCAGCCACTCAAAAGAGCACAATAGTTTGTAAACCGAATGTTTCTATCCTCAGGAAGAAAGAGACAGTATTGATAATATTTACTCACTGCTTCTGTCTCTGCTGTTCAAATTAGCAGGGACATTCAACCTCTTAGAGCTTCCAAATGTGCTTGACTGGATGGAGTTCCACCAGTAATAATTAAGATTTGTTCTGACACTTTAACGTCCTTTTTAACTTTTATATCTAATCTCAGTTGAACTAATGTGTCATTTGTCTTTGCGGAAACAAACTGCGCTTGTTCCAGTGTTCAAAAATTGTTACTAATTACAGACCTATTCCTATCCTTACCAATGTTTCTAAAATATTTCAATTTAACATTCATAATCATTTGTACAATTTCTACTTGTCTGTGAAAATCTATTCTACATGTACGAACTTGTTTACGTCTTCCACTTTGGCGAAGACGAGGACCTATTATAGCCGCTCAGTAATTGGAGCTTCGTTCCTTGGTAATCACTTGACTCTCTTCAGGGGTGTTAACGGTATGTAACTCCCGACAACGAGAGACTTCCTTTATCGCTGAATATAATACTTTATTTATACACAATTTAATTAATTAAGAATAAATACAGATGTGCAGATGATAATACTTGGCTTTAGCCACAAGACGATGATCTCAGAACTGTATTGGGTTTGCGTGCGACTCCCTCGGAAGTTTGTTGAAGAGTCCTCTCTCAACCTATTTAATGCATAAGGTCCAGCAACATTATCTGCTGAGTCACAATGAATCATCAAGTCTAACTAACTTTCTACACATTTCCGCCATAAATGTTGAAGTATGACACTTGAGACTACAACCAATTCACGCCAGTTTATTGCCCTGGTGTAGAAACACAAGATTCCTGGGAACCAAAGGTCCTCGGACGTCTTTGTCCTAAACAGTTAGGTATATGCCATGAACTAGAAGTATTACCCTCGAAACACAACAACAAGTTAGAATTTTGAAACGAAAAGTAAAAAAAGAAATTCAGCCTAATAAAATAATAAAAGAACTAAATGGTAGGATCAAATTACCTCAGCAGAAGATGTAATTTGGACCGTTACAACCTCCCCAAGTATAATTTTGGTCACTTTCTATCAGAAATGTCCAAGATTATATATTCTTGCCGCTAAAGCTTCAGCTCAATTACACCATATTACATGAAAATGTAAAACAAAAAAAACAACACAATACAAAATATAACATTACTTGATACATACACAAAATGAAATGAACACTTAACAATTATAGTAGTCATACACATATAAATCCTTTAGGTTACTTGACCTTCACATAGTTGTCTTGATCATTACAACATAACAGTTATCCGTTCACTAAACAATTTCTTAAGCGTTAATTATGAGTTACTTCTAATAATAATATATTACTGGTAGGATTTGACAACAATATTCAATTGTTCTGCTCTTACAATGCACTTATATTGGTATAATTTTGAATATTAAACTCCATACTACAGCTGTTACAATAGTTAAATGATTATTGAGCCCAAATTTATTACAAACAGTGACTACTGATTTCCAAGAAATTTAGTCAACCGCGTGCAATCAAATCAGTCAGTGCTGATTTTCTCCAAATATGGCTTCAATGAATGTTTATTGAATTGTCCTCTGACTTTCCCATTATTCCCTGAGATTTCATACACCGAAGGTGGAATGA